CTTCACTGAGGCTCGAACTTATAATCTTCCAAATGGAAGTCCAACCCGGATACCATTGGACCACATAAAAGCTCTGCAAGATTTACTTTGTAGACACTTTAATATTGCAAGTAATAACCGGAAAATTGAGTGTGAGAGAAAATTTTAATTTTGGTCACACGACTATAGGGGCTTTGTTAATTTCAGCACCTAACTTTTAAAAGTGTCAATTTAGTACCTTGAGTATGTAATTTTTGTCAATTTTGATCACTTCGGCCAAATTTGGCCGGAAAAATTTAATCAAACATTTAGTCTAAAAGTTGAGGGGTAAAATGGTCTTTTAAATCCTTTCTCCTAATTGGTTTCTTGGTGGGCAGCGGCGAAGCTCCGGTGATGTCCCCTGTTCTAGGCGAGCAAAGCTCTTCGGTGGCGTTCTCTCTGGGTGGCTGGGCAGAGTGAAGTAGCGGGTATATCAATGTCTCCGGAATCTCGACGGAGCTTGGCGACAGCAACCATGGCAGATTCGATGGTCGTTCATCTCCGGCGAAGCAAAGTCGCGACCATCAGATTTCTTATATTGTATGGATGTTTCAACTTGGATTCTTGTGCTCTATTGCTTAGCCACGGCATGATGAGGAGCTCAAAAAATTGCGGATTCACAGAAAAGTGTGTTTTCAGTTTGTGACTTTGTTGGGTGTGATACTGCATAGGTTTTTGCTTTACATTAATTGTTAATATAAAGTTGCTTCCTTCATTTCATCATTTTAATTATTATTTTTCTCTCTTTGGTGGTTTGAACTTAATTTGAACTTAATTTATGATTCTCTGTGATTTTTAATTACATGGTGGTGTTCTTCTTTTCATCCAGCACAAGCAAGACAACTGCTCGAGAAGATCTGAAGCATTCGACAAAGCTTTGCTCGCCGCAACACCGGGAGAACTGTTGTTTGCACCATTCATCAACCAAGCATTGATATCTTTGAAGCATTCGACAAAGCTTTGCTCGCCGCTGCCCATCACTGGAGCTTCGCCGCTGCCCACCAAGAAACCAATTAGGAGGAAGGATTTAAAAGACCATTTTACCCCTCAACTTTTAGACTAACTGTTTGATTAAATTTTTCTGGCCAAATTTGGCCGGCAATTTGGCCGGAGTGACCAAAATTAACAAAAATTACATACTCAAGGTACTAAATTGACACTTTTAAAAGTTAGGTGCTGAAATTAACAAAGCCCCCATAGTCGTGTGACCAAAATTGAAATTTTCTCTTGAGTGTGAAATACAAATATACTGGTCAATTGGTCATATCACTATCTTTGGACAAACTTGTGGTTCCACCTAGGGATTCTCATATTTTTGCTGGCACTGAATGTTTCATGGACTGAATCGCAAAGGTCGGGTCAAGATTTGATGTTGTTTTAGTTGTTTTTTGTACCTTAATTCTTTGATTTCTGCCGTAATATAACATAATAGAAAGATCGAGTTCTACTATATGTGGTTCCAAATTTTACTCCTTTACATTTACTTATTGATGTGGCAGACTTTGATAGTTTATTTTTTATGTGGGTCCCTGTTAAAGTGTCTACATCAATATTATAAGTGTGGAGTAAAAGTTGAGAGTATAGAATGAGACTATGAGAGTACATGTAATATTTTTCTATTAGAAAAAGTAAAGAGCTATTCATATTTTTTTGGACCTTTTGGAGGGAACACTCCACTAGAGCTCATCAACCTAACTATCGGGAAGACTGACACGGGATCGAGTTTCACAAGCGGTTTCGGAACAATAATCCAGGATCGAGTTTCACCAACGACGGTGTGGGATCAACCTCTCAAAGTGAAAGGCCGGGGCTCCTTGTGCGTAGTAAGCAAAGGTCTAATCTCTGTATTCAACTGAGTTATCATGATTTACATACTTCTAGAACGAAGCTCTATCGGGCCGGACCGTGGTAGGCCCTTGAGGTTGGGAATTCAACCTTTTGGGAACAACAAATATCGGGGTTTTTTTTGGGAATTTGTGTGACCTACCTTTGTTTTCTTGGGGTGATAAAGAAAATTAAACTCAAGAGTCCATATATGAAGATATATACTGAAAAAATTTCGTTCTTATTAAAAAATTAATTAAAAATATCCCATCGCATATAAAAGGTATTGACAAAAATAAAATTCGTAACCTTTAAATATAAAATTTGTATTCCATCATCCACTTAGCAGTTGGCAATGAGTGAGAGAAGAGTGTGGAGGTAGACTTTGAAGTTTGAAGGCCTCACACTATAATTTCAGTATATTGTTGCGTCAATCGCGGAATAGATTGATCAACAACACTAAGGAAAAGATTGTACGGGAGATTGATTTGATTTGGTTATTAGTCAAACACTTTGGTTGAGAATTGAAGATGAGATTGCCATGCATATTTATTTTTTCTAGAAGTAGAACTAATTAATTAGATAGACTTACTGTCCACCGGTTTGCCACAATCACATGTCAATCTCCACCAAATATTGTCCCCATATATTCATTCTATACCTAACCAAATTTACTGCTACAATTAAAAAATTATTCTTCCAAAAAGCTGAACCCCAACTCTTACAATTACAAAATTATTGTAAAGTGGTATGGTAGTTAGTATTAATAACAATAACCGGTCCTAGATGATATAATGATGTATATTATATTGTTGTTAATAAGGTTAATATCAATGATAGATTGGTAACTCAAGCTAAATTAGCCATGTCAAGATTCAATATATTTTTTTTTTTTAAGTATCTAGAGGATTGACTGATTGACCTATTTATATTAGATATTTGGGAGGACCGATTGAGCCATCAACTTCTTAGGGCCGTTAAGGGACAACACCTAGAGTTTGTTATATATAACTCCTATATTTTTGCTAACATCCACAATCAAAGAACAAACGGGTCTGAAAACACATACAATCGTCCTATTTGTAGTAAAATAATATAATGACCTAAGACTTAATAGTCTATAAAATACGATCAATTAATCAACAGTATATATAACAGTTGTTAATTTTTCTGAATACATTATTATTAGATTGTCAAGCATCTTGTGCTCAGATGACATGTGGTGACTCTCTCATATGAGAGGTCATGAGATGTAGCATCAGTGAAGCCGGTGTTGACTCTTTGTACTTAACTGATTGAGAAAGTATAAATGAACAGATAATACAATGTAATAGAGTCAGTAGATTTATCAATAATTGTTGTAGGGATAATAAACCAAAACTGCCATAGGTCTGAGCAAAACTAAAGGTGTTGGAGAAACCCTACCATGCATGCATGTTTCTCTCCATTCTTATTGAATGGCAACTAAAACCAACCCCATTTTTGATGTTCCCTATAAAGATACGCTGTAGACTTTAAAACAAGATAGAAATTGACATTCTCAACATACAAAACTATATGTGCTGCAGTGCCCTTGCCTCCTCATCGATCAGCCAACTCATCATAACTCCTGCACTTCTGGTGGTTCAACTTTCAATTATTTCATCAAGGCAGAAAATGAAATTAAACCCTCCCCATCTTCACTCTTAAGCTTTTAGAGTAATATTGAATGTGCTTCATCTACTCCCATCTCCCTCTCAACTACTGAGTAATTAAGGTTCGTAATAATTCCCAAAATATTTAATTAGGACTACCTGATATTCGATATATAAAGTTTAGTTTATAGAAGTTGAGAGAGTTTAAAGTGTGAACCGTCTAACAGAATGGGTCGTTGTTGATATTCACTTAACATAAATGAAGTAAAAATGTTAGGTGTAGACATAACCCATTTTAGAGGGCATGCACATGGAGTGAGAGCACTCATCAAATGCCATAATTTTTTATACCCCACGCCCCTCACTCTCTCAACCTCTCCACAATCCCCGCAATACTGAACGCCTATATTTTCTAATATTCAATTCTATGCTTTTCTATTACTGTTTTCCTTTTTCTTTTTGTCCTCTTAACCTTTTTTGAATTTTCAAATCTTATGTACTAATAAATCTACTAATTTAAAACAGTTAATAAACGAACAACGGCAAAGTTGAGATTTTAGATAAGGCTTCCTTTCACAATAATTTAGTAGACCGAATTCAAATTAATTTTATGAGGAAAAAAATTATATATTAAAAGTATTAATCAAATACGGAGTAATAAAATTTGATGTAATTTCTCTTTTTTTTTTTTTTCTAAAATTGGAAGGTTTTCCAAAAGCTTTATGTATTCAACCTTGACAAGAAATTGCCACCTCGGGATTCTCTGCTACTTTGGAGGTTGTCTTACCTTAAAAGCTATGGCCAATAAATTACACTTTAGTTCTCAATTGATGCCATTTTCTTTATCTTTTTCCCATTTGGAGGTAACAAAGAAAAAAGTGCCAAAATTATACTGACCTACCAAGCCTTACTGACAAAGGTTTTTAGGCCGCGCTATAGGCGTTTACTACTGTGCCTTCCCACCCATAATACCATATTTAAATTTAGATGATATATTTATATTGGGTGCACAATCTATTTTTCTGAGCATTATTAATTCTGTTATAATATAGTATATATATATATTTATAGATATTTTTTTTATTAAGATTTGAATCTGTAACCTCTCATTTGGGAGAGTAACAATTATTGACTTTTGAATTATCTGTAATTTTTTTATATAGGAATTTTCAATCAACTCGACATCATAGAAAATAAACATCATGTGAACAGTGGAGCCTTGGGTTAAATTTCAAAGAAATTATGGCTAGGGACCACATTAGCTTCATCCATTTTCCTGTCCCCATTTGCACCTAAGCAATAGAAACTTTTGCCGGAGAAATAATTCGCAATAATAATAAACCCTCAACTCCCCACTTCTTCAATTTTCACCCTAAAAACATAAAATAATAATAACAATTATTATTATTATTAAATATATAACAAGAGTCTAGCTTATATAAAGGGGATAGGAAGAAGTAACAAGTACACAACAAAGCAACATCATCTCTTCCAATTCTCTCCTTCACCGTCTCCGGCGTAGCCATGGCCGTCCCCACCCGCCGTTTCTCTCTCTTCCTCCTCCTCACACTTTTATCCTCTCTCCAGATTCTTCATGCAAGAGAAACCCAGTATTTCTTCAACAAAATCCCAGGCAACAACAACAACAACTATGGCGTCAATACAGAGCAGACCACCGTGATTCCCCAGCAGCAAGAACAAAACTTCATCCCGGAGAACGAAAACGGCGGCCTAGACCAACCGTACACCACCAACAACAACAACAACAAACTGCCGTACAAAACCGAGGAGGAGGTTCCCAACAAGAGATACCTTCCGAGGAACTACAACCCTGTCTCCTACGTGACTGTCCCGGAGGACAACACGAACAACGAGGATTCCAAGTTCGCCGGCGAGGAATTCACCACCGCCGCCGATAACAACAACCGCTACAACAGCTACACCGCCAGAAACAACTACTACAACAGCCGCCGCAGCAGCAACTACTACGGCGGCGGCGGCCGCCAAGAAGAAAGCTTCCCCACCACCACCAACAACCGCTACAATGCGGCGGCGGGGAACAAAGTTGAGAAGATGGGCATGAGCGACACCAGGTTCTTGGAGAACGGGAAGTACTACTACGATACCAACACTGAAAGGTACGCAAGACATCCATTGGAGAACGCAGGGATTAACCTTGAAGATTTTAAAAAGCAGTTCCAGAACAGCAACAACAATTTCATGGAGAACAACAACTACCAGAACGAGGAGCAGTTCCAGGATGAAGACGACATGCCTTGAGATCGAGATTTTCATCTTCATTGCGTAATTTACACAGCTGATTAAATTAAAGTAATTTTGAGCAAATGTGTGATGATGATGATGATACATACCATCGAGTGCATGCATGTCTTATTTATTATTCCAATATCATTTCTGTTTGATATATATATGTCTATGATAAAATGTTTAATACTTATAAAAATGTTAATTAAACTACAGATTTATCCTTGAGTACAGTTGTGCTCTATCTCTTTATATATGAAATCATTTTCTCAATTTTCTAATTCAAGAATGACTATAATCACCATTATTTCATTATTCTTATAAAACAAAAAGCAAACTGGTAGAAATTAAACCTACCAAAATATAAATAATTATATTGAATCAAAAACCATGTAGTGTTTTTCTGGTGGCTACTTGACAGTATAGTGCAAACTGAATAAACCGGCCATACAACTAACAAAGTCAATAGGTCACCCTGTTCGGGATCAAATTCAATAATTACCATGTCACTAGTATGACTGACTTGGCTAATTATACGTTTTTTTTGGTGGTGTTACATTTAAGATTTAAGATTTAAGAAACATTGGGAAGGAGTGGAGAGTAACATTTACTGCGTCACATTCTCTCCGGCTGGGGGAGTAGTTTTCTGTCGTCTTTGGAATTGGTCCCTCCCTCAAGATTCTTTAATTTGTTTAGTACACAGGGAAACATGAGAAGGACAATTATCAGATTTTTGTTTGCCCCAAAAAGAAAATTCAAAACAACAAATAAATTAGAATAATGCCCTTCTTTTTCTTTTTCTTTTTAAATTTTCAGAAGGAAAATATAATATTAAAATTCTTCCTTTATTTATTTTTTGTAGTCCCACCTTCACATGTGCGGCGACAATCACGCCAGTCAATTGTTTGAACGTCAAAGTTTATATACATATATTCTCCGAAAATTAATAAGATCGGTTTGTTTTCATTATAATTTTCACATGTCTTCACATATAATATATGCTGATATGCCCGTGTGAGTAAAGTGTAATGTGTTTATTTATTTATTTTTCTCAAACTTTTTCTACATAAAATCAATTTCAAAATTTCGTGTTCAAGTGGTCTGGTTCTCTGCGTGATTCATCTGTCACTCCAATTTTATAATTAATATTCATCATATTAATTACGTACATAATGCCATGCAACGTACGAAAAACCACAAAATGAAATTGGAAGATTTTCTGGGCACAATCAACCTAACCTCAATATCCAATAGAGAGAGTTCTCCTGAACGGGACTTTTTGATGATCAGTCATAATATATATATATATATATATATATATATATATATATATATATATATATATATATATATATATATATATATATATATATAATGTAGAGATGGAGCTCATTCAATTCAATATAATGCGTCAGTGTCATCTGTGGATAGGCTCTATTTTTTTGGTCGCATCGTCATTTTGAACAAAAAAAATAAATAAAAAAAATTAATGAATGATATGGTAGATATTAAATAAAAATAATAGAATACCAATTTCATGAGTGTGAGATTGTCCATGTTCTTTCGTGAGGATAATCAATGTACTGACTACCTAGTAAACATGGGTCAAGGCAGCCAATGAGGAACAACGTAACAGTCCTGGTTCACCCGTGATGGTGTTAGAAACATTCTGAACCGCGATGCTAGGAACATTGCTTCTAGAAGAATTTACTAATCTTTGGTACCTCTCGATTACCCGGCGCACCAAAAAAAAAAAAAAAAGAGTATCGTTGGAATATCATTTAATTTGTTTAATTAAGTGTATATATTTTCTTTAAGGTGGGTTGTTGTTTAATTAATTAATATATAGTTAGATGGTAGAAGAGGTTGAACTACTGGTCGATCTGATATGGCAGATGCCAGATGGCATAGGACAGAGGAGATGACGGCGGGCGGAGGATATGAATATATGATGGCGAAAGTCATATGCAAGTAATGAATGAATAGGGAGGTAGAGCCAAAAACAGTCACTACCATACCATACTGGCAACTAATGGACATTTGTGCCGTGAATGGAGAAGGATCGATCTTGCATTGCAACTTTTTTTTTTTTTTTGTTCCCATCTATCTTTCCTTTCATTTTTTGGAAACTTTGTACTTCTCGACCACCTTTTCAACCATTCAAAAAAATTCAGTCTTTCTTTACAACTCCAGACTTCTAGTTAAGGCGAAAGAGACCATCCTCATTTCATGGACGGACACCCATTTTTAGGATTAGCTGATTATAGCTAGAAATGTGTTTGGTAAATTAGTTGTTAGCTGATAGCTGTTTGATATAATTTTTTTTTTTCAAAAAGCAATTGAAAAAGTTGTTTTGAGTAGGTTTTTGAATTTTAGCATTTTGAAGTACAACAAGCTAATTAACCAAACACTTATATTAATTTTTAAACTAAGTCAAACAATTAATAGTTGTCAAATAAATCAAAATTAGCCTATAGACGAACTATTTTACCAAATATGGCCTATGTTTATCCAAAAAAAATCAGCTGATTTAATTGAATGTTTTTGCTCACTGTAGATATTGTAGTAGAGATTCACGGGAGTCATAAGTAGAAATCAATTAGTGAAGTGTAATAACTACACTGCATACCTTTCAAAAGGCTGTATTCAATGAAATGTTAATAATCTGCACCCCTCCCCCTCCCCCCCCCCCCCCCCCCCCGCCCCCAAAAAAAAAAACAATGTGAACATATAATTTTTTGAACAGGAAACAAGATTGGAATTAAAAGTGTTATAATCTGCAAATCACACATGAGATGTAAATTACTACACTAAGAAGACCTTGTATGACGGTTCGACCAAGAAAATGTTGACAATAATCAAACTTGTGACTTTCAAATACAAGAGTCATGTTTTACCCTTTTGCATGTCCCTTTCACTTCTATGAGTTCTATCATTTAGATCATAGGTCACCGAGTCACGTAAAATATTAAAATGCCTTATTTACTAAAACAAAGTAATAACATGCAGGTAAGTTCATAATTATGGAATATAGTGTTTGCATATGTTAATCAACCCTGAGGATTGTGATTGGAGTTCATAATATAATATTGAATGTTTTTTATAGTTTTTTTTTTTTTTTTTTTTTTTTTTTTTTTTTTAAGAATAAACATCTTACTGAGAAAGTGACCAAAAAATAAAGTCACTTATTAAATGATTAGCCATCCCACATTATGGCTTGTATCAATTGCCACCCAAAATTAATAATCCAGGACAGGTAGTTGTATATTCAAATGACCCATGTAAGTTTTTCCTAAAGTGCTTCATGGATTAATGCATATTATTCGGTAGTGTTTGTTAATTTCTCTAGACCTAGAAAAACCTTGTATGATTGACTCTAATGAGAGAATAATAACAACAATCAAACTCGTGATCATCAATTATAAAAATCATACTCCACACTTCTAAGTAAGTGGACGAAATCCGGCAAATTATATCGTGGACCAGGGTGCACAGTGCACTATGAACCCTGGTCCAATACACATAATTTGACTTCATAATGCACAAAATTTATGTTCATAATACATATACACATAAACACGATATAATGAACATGAATTTTGTGCATTATGAACATAAATTCTTTGTATTATGAACATGAATTCTGTGTATTATGTTAAGTGTTTATGTGTCCTCAGCTATATAATACACATAATTCATGTTCATTATATCGTGTTTATGTGTATGTGTATTATGAACATGAATTCTGTGTATTGAATCAGGATCCACAGTGCACTGTGAATTGACAAATTATACTGTGAAACTGGTTCCACGGTATAACAATTGTTATGAACTCTGGTCCACGATATAACGATTGACGAAATCCAACGTCTTTGAAATGTTGGGCTTAAACTTTCTTCAAGAGACTTGGACTGAACCCACTACATTTGTAAATTGTGGTGTTCCAACTCTGCTCGTGAACTTGGGCTTTAAGGGTCGGTCAAGGCTGCCTTAGATGCGCGGACTACTACTAGGCAATTTATATCCTACACTACGGTAATGTATTTTATGAGTTAGAATAATGTACTTTATGCATTTGAATAATGTATTTTATGAGTTAAAATAATGTATAATGTACTTTATGTGTTAGAATAATGATATTTTTTAGAAAAGATAATATATTTTATGAGTTAGAATAATGTACCTTATGTGTTAAAATAATGTATTTTATGAGTTAAAAAATAATATACTTTATGTATTTTTTGGACTATGGTGCACACAATAATGATCGTGGTATATGACTTTGGACTCATTTTATTGAAAAAGGTTGACCCAAGAAGAGTGAAAGGGGATGAGGGGTCTTGTTGGATTAAAGGAGGGAATGAGCCAAGGAGGTCCAAATTAAAAGGTGATGGAGCAAAATGAGCTAAAGAAGTGCAGCCAACAAGATTCAAACACTTCTTAACCACAAGCATAGTAGCACGTACAAGCCGCAACCCCCCAAGTTACTTAACTTGTGTATAAAAATACATCAACTTATACATATTATGACGAAGGACACTGGCAACAAAAGTAGTAGGGTTGAAGCGAGACACATATATGACTAAGAATGGAGAATAACCTAAGTCATATACGGAGTACTTGTTATGCATTTGAAGGGGCCTCTACACTATAAATAGGCATCATTGTCTCCTTTAAGACGTCATAGTTTGTTCATTACATCCAAGTAACTTAGTGGTGTTTATTTGGACCGTTGTTTTAGACATTGTGTATACTCTTTTGAGTCTAACGCGCTGAGTAATAAAATCATTCTTTTCCTATCCCCATTTTATATATTTATACCCAGTGTATGGTAAACACAATCATGATAAAATCATCACATTATTGTTGTTGTTGTTATTATTATTATTATTATTCAAAGCAATTATTATAATCATACATGTAATTTACAAACTTTCAACTTATAATCATATAATTTACAAATTTTCAACACGAAATGCAAGCAATTTGGAATATCCTTAGTCGCTAAATGCAATACTTCCAAAATTTCAAATGTGTGGATTATATGCCTTGCCTTCAAGTCAAAGTAATATTTTTCATCAAAATTAAAGTATTACATTTTTTTATATAAATAATAAACATTTTATTCATGATTTAGTATTACATTTACTACTATAAGTATTACATTTTCATCTTGACTCGACTCGATACGTTTCACAGATAAAGATTCGTGAGACGATCTCACACAAGTTTTTGCCACTCAAATTAAATCTTTGGGCTGGTAATCATTTTATCATTTGACTAAATTAATGAATGGATCCCACATTGTATGAGAACTACTATCACATATCTAACTTAATCTGATTAGTGTTTTATACGCTAAATTTTTCTTTTTAAACCGTTAAATTTAACAAACACTTTAACTATAACCCAAATTTGAATTTTTGAAGTTAAAAAAAAAAAACAAACAAACAAAAAAAAAAAACAAGTGAGTGAATTTGAATGATAAAAGAAGTAACACACTACATCATATCCTGGGACTCCTCAAATCTAAATAAGTAAATATGTTGAGAAGAAAGAAAGTTGATTGTTCTCACCTACCAACAACACCACATGCTTCTGCTATCCCAATCAATCAGTAATTCTAAACAATTATAGGCCTATTTGGTAAAATATTTAGCGTGCTAATTTTAGCTTATATGATCACTATTAGTTGTTTGATTTAGTTAAAAAATCAATATAAGTGTTTGGTTAATCATTTTTTGTTACTCCAAAATGCTAAAATTCAAAAAGATACTCAAAACAACTTTTTTAATTAACTTTTTGATAAAATAAATTATACCAAACAACTATCAGCTAACAATTAATTTACCAAACACATTTCTATAATCAGATAATGTTATCAACTAGTCATACTCTCTAACAGCTAACAACCATATACCAAACAGGGTCATAATCTTCCTACATTTTATATAGGAAAAAGTGTCAAATTAGCCACCTAAGTCAACTGGATAGTGCAATCGGGTCCCCTAAATGAAAAAAATTCCATTCAAGTCCCCTAAATCGATAAAATTGTTCAATTAATAAGTTCAAGTTTATTTGTTTATCAGGTTAAATGCATACGGTGTTGACATGTGTCCTTATTTTATTTCTTTATTAAAAATATTATTTATTATAAACTAATTAAAATAATAATAATAATAATAATAATTAATTTTTAAAAAAAATAATAACACGACCGTCTAAAGAAAATGACCATAGCCAACAAAGGAAAAAACGGCCATAACTGTTTTTTAGATCTGGACGAGAGCTACGGCCTTGATCGCCGCCCTCGTTCGTGACGGAGGGCTACGGCCTTGGATGCAGCTACCAATTTTGCACGAATACAGAATGAGAAAACAATATTAAAACAATTTAGGAAGTTTTTGTAAATAAATAGAAATAAATATTTCTAAAATGTGAAAATGCTATTCTTGAAGAGTTTCCGTGCAGAAACAAATATTTTAAATTTAACATGTCAATAAAGCTGTCGGTGGATGTACTGTGTTATACAGCTCTGCTATATACATATTACATACCACCAAAATATGACTTTTCTATGGTAGTTAGCTTGCATCAATGCAGTGAAGTTTGTGATACATAATATTATTTTATTTATTCATTAACTATATTATTTGTAAAAAACGAATCATATATATTAAACATTTATCAAATGAAACAACATCTAACACTATAAAATTTAGTATAATTTGTCCAAGCATGCAATGTTAAGAAGACGATATCATTTTTTAAAAAGGAGAGAATAATAAAATTATAAATGAAGATTTGTTGTAGGGTTTATGGGGTTGATGATATTGAAACATGAACTAACATTAAAGAGTGTTGTATTCATCCAACCACCACTTGTTAGGCTCTTTTATGTGTATTATTAATTATTAATTTGCTATATATCATCATCCACACTGCTTAACAATTAACATCCCTCAACGGACCATTATTATTATTGTTGTTTAGCAACAAATTTATTACTGGAGGAGCTTGATTAGAAAATTAGCAAACCCAAAAAAAAAAAAAAAAAAAGACAAAAAGAAAAATGAGATAATCATGGATGGCCAAACATGGTATTAAATCAGTAGTGCGGTGATATAAAGGGCGAACTCCTACGTGGGACCTGGGGCAGACAATTCAATGCTATTATGAGTTGATGTTTAAGAAAGAATGTAAAAAAGATTCAAAACCATTCGATCAGAGTCTTCAGTCTTCACTCATCACCAACATCTTCCTAGGCCTATCTGCATATATAATTTCTATCTGTCTTTTTCCCCAGAAAATCCTCTATCAGCCATGGTCATTCCAGCGGTATGGTACTATAATATAATCTTGATGATTTGCATATTGAATTTGTTTTGTTTTGTTAGATACTATATATATATGAATGATTCTTGTATCTGTTTTGTTTGGATGATTATTGTTGACACTGTGAATATAATGGTACGATGATAAAGAAGCTAATTTAAGAACATATATGTTTCCAGGACAGTGAGGTTCCCAGTGGGTGGCCACTCCGGCTAGGAAACATGAATATTAGGCTGAGATTGTTGGAGACATCGACGGCGACGGCGACATATTCTTCCCCAAGTTTCTCCTCACTTTCCTCTTCAAATCTCGACACCGAGGTAAAAACTTTAATTTATCCTATATTAAAAACCTCAGCTTTCTGAAACTTTCTGAGTCACATGTTGGAATTTGAGTCTACGTTTCAGTCCACGGCATCATTCTTCCCGGACCGGAGCGTGTCTCTGGGGCGGCTGATCGGAATTAGGCCACCGGGAAACCGAGGGTTTCCGGGGAAAGTGCAGGTTGAGGGAAATCTGCAGAGTGATATTGATCACAGAAGATCGCATTCAGAAGGTGGAAAGGGAGAGGGAGAGGGAGAAGGGGAGGGTGTTTGTGTTCCATTGTTGCAGAATGTTATGGGGAAGATGAGTCGCAGTAAAAGCAGCACGAAGCTGAGAATGGGGTTCCAGAACTAGCCCAGATTGGGGGCCGGCCGGGGATCGGAGATAAGCTAGCTAGCTCCATTCTGCTCTTTTGTTTTCTTCTTTCTGTATTTGCTGTTCTGCATTTCTGCTCCCTTGAGCATAATAAAAGATCCCCTCTGCCCTACCCTCATAATATTCAATTCACCATTATATACATTCCCAAACAAAATATTATATATTATTTTTATATTAAAAAAAAAAAAAAAAAAAACAAGTCGGTGATGAGTACTGAATACCATAGTATTAGACTGAAATAGTAATTGACTGCACGAACTTAACTCATTTGTTCAAGAAGTAGTAGTATTTGAGAGAATAGATTAAAGTTTAAAACTCAACAGCAATAATGTAGAGATTATGACTAAAGTGGACAGATATATTCTTTGTGCACACTGACATTTGGTTTGTCTGCTGAGTTAGTATAATTTATATTTTCTTACATGCTTTGTCAGGACAGAATTAACTCTTTTCGTTGTATTAATATAGAACTCGAGTAATAAAGTGCAAAGTGTTAGTTGAAAATAATTAAATAAAATGACGGTGTTGCAAAGTATGAAAAACTTGTGGTCGAGCTCTCTATTTAGACACATTTAGAATTTTGTCTTATGGTGGATTATTAGTGCAGGTATTATAATACAAAAGGGACAATTTGAGTTTGGTGTTATTTCACATCATTGAACTGGAACCACAATTTGTTATGGACTAAAACAATGAGCTGCTTAACACGTACAAATATTTTGCCTTGTTTCTAAATATCAGGATTATAGAGTCTCGGAGCCAATCAAAGAATTTAAATAACTTTTGAGGCATAGGCCATGGTGCGCCGGAAGTGTTTTGCAAATAGATGTTAGCTGATAGCTCTTAGTTGATTGGGTTTGTGGGTTTTGACTAGTTGATAATATTAATTGATTGTAGAATGACAATCATTGCAAGGTGGACACGATTCTATCTTCTTAATTACTGAACTATATATTCATAATTATAAAGTTATATATTCATAATTTTTGAACTTCATATTCATAATTATTGAACTCTATATTCACAATTACATAACTCTATGTTCATAATTACTGAACTATATGCTCATAATAATTATAAAGATATATATTCATAAATTTTGAACTTCATATTTATAATTATTGAATATCTATATTCATAATTACAGAACTATATATTCATAATTATGAACAGTTTTGGAGTCGTGTCCACCTTGCAAAGTAGACAGGTTCCACAGCATAATTTGCCATAGAAAGATGATTGGTAAATTAGATGTTAGCTGATTACATACAAAATGACTTTTTCAAAAAGTTTATTCAAAAAGATGTTTTGCGTAGCTTTTTGAATTTTAGTGTTTTAGAGCAATAAACTGTACAGAAAGTTAATTAATCAACATATCATATATATATATATATATATTGATTGTTTAACCAAGTCATACAAACAGTAGTGATCAAACAAATCAAAATTGACTAATAGACTAACTATTTTACCAAACACAATCACAATATTTCTTGCCTCTAAGAGCTCTTTGGTTCGCGGAAAATATTTTAAAGGAAGTGGAATTGAAATCCCATGAAAAAACAATTATTATGAAGATTAATTTCATTGTTTGGTTGATGAAAAAAGAATTACTGGGAATACTAATTCTATTGTTTGGTTAGATTTGGAATTGTAAGGAATAACGAGTATAAAGACCTATATGTCCATACAAATAAATAAAAGTAATATAATTAAAAAAGAAAACAAGGGTAAAATAGGTAATCCATACCACTTTTTCTTCCCATCTTCCATGAAAAACAAAATCTTTGGTCCAACCAAAGATTTTGTTTTCCTCAAATTTGAGGAATTCATTTTCCAATGAAAAATGAATTCCATGAACCAAACACTAGAAAACAACATTTTCCTCTACTTGAAAAATATTTTCTTTTGAAAAACATTTTCCATGAACCAAATATCCCCTTAAGTGTGTGTACTCATAATAATAAATTAATTACAGGATTTTCAATTAAATATTATCCACGTATATTCTAGACATCTAATTTGGTAAGTTGAAACACTAATTAATATAACTCCTGATGCCCAGTTAGGCACAGATATTTTAATATAAATTGCAAAAAAATAAAATAAAAATAAAATTGCATTGAATATTGTACGAAGAAGGCACACTAACACTAGATATCCTTTATACTTACCTCTCACTTCAATCCACCTAAAAGCATCGCATCCAAAGAATTTTGGAGAGAAGAAAGAGTGTAATTCTTCGCCTAATTGACCTTTTAATGTGATTTTTTTTAAAAAAAAATGTTTGGACCATTAATAAATAAATAAAATGATATTGAATGTTTATTTTTAATGTAATGATTTTTTTAATTAGTATATTAAAAAAAAAAAGAATTCAAAATACATTAAAAATGAACATATATGTTAGTGGTTCACCTTGCAATGTGGATAATAGTTTACAGTATAATGATTGAAAAATAATATCACATTATATGTACATAAAAGTGACACAAACAGTAGTGAATCTATGTACTTAAAACAATTAATCTATGTTATTACAATAATGAATTTATGTACTTACAATAATGAATATATATTTAAAAAAAAAAAAACTAAAATAGTGAATATATATACATGACTTACCTACAATAATGACTTTTATTAACTAAATTATATATTAAAGTAATGTCTTATTTTTTTAAAAAAAAGAAATATATATAAGTGTTATTTAAAAAAATTTCATTTTTTTATATATTTTTATATATTAATTTTATTTGTAAAAAACGGAGCAACCGTTTTAAATCAAGGTCCACGATATCTTTACTGTGTTTGTAATTTGTATTCTCTTTTCCACACAATAAATGTCATGATTATTATTAATAATATATTCTTATAAAAATACAATTATTTTTGAAAACCAAGAACCAATTTTTATTAAATCAAATGTTGAATACAATTTGGAATAGAGAAAGACCAAACAATATGACCGGATTGAGAACGAGCTGGCCTAACTAAGATATAAGTAACAATATTCATTGATCTAGAAATGAACTAGATAGACATAGGGATGTCAATTGAACCCGCACCTGACGGGGAACCCGATTCCCCGCCCTTACGGGGACGGGGATGGGAACAGAAATAGGGGATCGGGGATGGGGATGGGGGCAATTTTGAATTCCCCGCTGGGGACGGGGGCGGGGATAGGGAGTACTCTCCCCGCCCCGCCCCGTCCCCGATATATATATTGCCACACAACACACACAAATGTAGTACTTTGTATACAATATATATAATTTTAGAAGTATTCTTGTCATTGTATGTCATGCATATTTAAATAAAATGTTTAATTGTAAAATATTGAATACAACTTTGAGTTGAGGATGGATATATATGAGTTATTTATTTAAATGTTTTTTAATGTTTAATTTTTATTTTTTTTATAACTTGTTAACGGGGTGGGGATTCCCCGTCCCCGAATAATCCCCGTGGGGATGGGGATGGGGGGAATTTTTCATTCCCCGGCGGGGATGGGGATGGGGACGGAGAATGGAAAGAAAATCGGGAACGGGGATGGGGGTATGTCCCCCGCCCCCACCCCGCCCCGTTGACATCCCTAGATAGACACCGTAATAAAGTGTCGCGGGCACCCGTTAAGAACACATCCTATATAATTATTATAATTAAAATTAAAATAGGACTTGCCGACTTGGAAAATACAATAATGTTCTTTCATTTTCAGCTAACCATCACCAGAAGAAAAGGTCAAAGCAACCGAGAACACAATTCACTCAAAAAAAGACATTAAAATCAGGAAAAGAGAATAAAAATTACTTTCTTTCGTCTTTTGCTTGTTCACCGTTTCTCTCATTCATGGATACTGATTTCTGGACCTCTCGCCTCGCAGCTGCCAAGCGGCAATTCAATTTGCAGCATCACCATCACACATACTACCATAACAACACCTCTCAATTGGGTTTGTCTCTTTTTTTCTTTCTTTTGCTTTTGATCGATTTGGGGTGCTTTAATTCGTATAAAGATCGGATTTTGTTTTGTTGTTGTTTCTGGGTGATATGTAGATCGGCTGAGCTTAGATGATTTCGAGGTTGAAGAAGAGGCCCGACCCGATTTCCCATGCCCGTATTGTTATGAGGACTTCGATATTACCTCCCTTTGCTCCCATCTGGAAGACGAGCATTCTTGCGAGTCCAAAGTCACCGTAAGTTCTGTTTTCATCAATATATACAACACGTATCTATATCTATATCCATATGTATAGACCATTACTCGTATTCCATTTAAAAAAAAAAAAAAAGAAAAGAAATTTAGATGTATAATTTAATGTCTGAATTATTGGGTTAGCTTCTATTGGTGGGAAAAGTTGATATTATCGTTCTGGAAATCTAATAAGTTCTTTTATGGCCAAAAAAAGTTGTTTTTTTTTTTTTGGGGTCATTTTTCTTCTATTCCCTGAAGAAATTTTGCTAGTTTTGATTGAAGGAAATATTGGCAAGTGTTATACATTGTTGCAGAGACTATTTATAATAATCTGTTAGCGAGTACTCCTTATCTGGTTGATATGTTTGATGGCCTGGTTGAGTATTCATGTATAAGGAAATCTGTTCTCCAGAATGGCAAATATTAGCCATTTGTTTATAAAAGAACATATGTGGTTTGTTTAGGTAATGGGTATCCATGACGGAATATGATTGGATGATTAAGTAAATGCTAGAAAATTATCATTGAAGGGTTGTGTGCAGATAAGCCTTTTTCCCGTCTAATCTAACACACAGCATAGGAATCTATTTCACATTATGCATTTATGCCTGCCCTTGACGTAGGGGAATGGGAACATAAATTTTAAATTTTCTTTTGTTTCATTAATTCTGCTCGTAAAACTATTTGTTAATTCTAGCTTCAAGAATCTTATAGCTTCTTCTTTTGCTTGCAGATTTGTCCCATTTGTTCTGTTAAAGTTTCGAGGGACATGTTAAGCCATATCACACTGCAGCACGGACAATTGCTCAAGATATCCTTTGATGTGTTTATTTTGTTACTTTCTGAATGAACTCTTTTAATCCCGTCAGGCAGCTGCTTCCTGGGAATATTTAAGGTTTCCTGAACTTAAAAATACTTGCAGCGCCGTCGGAGGTTACGCAGGGTTGCGATTCCCAGCAGTCAGGCACTTTCTTTATTAGGAAGGGATCTTCGGGAAGCCCATCTACAGGTGCTTCTAGGAGGCAGCGGGTATCGATCAAACACCGCAACTTCATCTAGTGCCCCTAGTGATCCCTTCCTCTCGTCTCTTGTGCTCAACTTCCCCGGGTCTGAAGTCGAAGAAATTTCAAAATCTGTGGTATCCAGTATTGAGGACAGTCCTACAAAGAGTGCGGGATCTGAACACATATGGAAGTTAAGGTAGTTATTCGAATCACTCAAAGATGGAAATGTGCACTCTTTTGTCACTATGGTCTATGGATTCTACATTTCTGCTTGTTTAGCCGTGTATATATATATACACACTAACAAAACCTTATAATTCCACTCTCTTTCTATTCCGTTAATTCTTGCAGTTTGGATCCATCGCTAAGTTATGAAGAGCGAGAAAAAAGGATAGAGCAAGCCACTGGAAGAGCTTTTTTTATCCAGGATATGCTTGCCTCGACTTTGTTAGCTGACAAATACCAGTAAGTTTGAATTTTGCAAATAATAGTGACTGAACAATATAGATTCAGATAAAAGGGGTGATCTCGCTGGGTTAAAATAATTTGGTGTATTAAACAACCCGGCACATGCCTCGTCTCAAAGTCATATATTACTGATGTATAATTCCCAGAATCCTCCCAACAAGAGGTGTTGTCCCTAATCATAACTGTAAAAATCAACATCCTCACTGTATTTTCTTTCCAACTTTTTGTTTGGAATTTATACTTAGTTGAGGTTGCCACTGTAATTCTGTAAATCTGTAAACTTTAAGAGGATTTTTAAGGTCTGCACTTGGCAGAAATGTTATCAGTAACAAAACTTCGAATAGGATTGCTCTTCAGTGTCTCTTTCACTTTACAAATATACAATCTCCTTTAAACAAAAGGAAATGGAAACATGTGCCAGACAGATGAGGGGCAAAGAACAGAGATGTTTTGTAATATTTACTTAAAATTTGAGTTGCTTTCTACAGGAATTGATTGAACATTTGAACTATACCACCATGCTGTTAAAAAAAAAAAAAATTCACCTCTACCAAATGGTTACTTAGGATTGACGGGCAACTCGCAATTTACCTCATCTAGTGACTTTTGACACGGGCTCTGAGGCTTAGAATTAGTATAGCGTAAGAAAAAATATATAAGGCAGGGACTCAGCGACTTTGATTCTTACATCAAGGAATCCTCCGACAGTATTGTTAGGAGTGAATACTTCACCTTGAATCTTATTCTGCTGTCCTCAACAAAGAGCCTTGCGCCTGTGACCACCCAATAGCCAGGTGAATCCTCAGGGCCTCTCACCATTTCTTTTGTGTCGACAAAGTGTGACATTTTTGGTGGCTTTGCTGGTGTGGGAGGGCCGCCAGGATAAATGGCTGAATTCAGATCAGCCTTGGCTGGTTTTTCAGGTGGAGTGAGCTTTGTACTGAATGGCGTGGTGATAAGCATTGATATCAGTCCTGACTTTCGAGCTGAGTTTGAGGGTTCGTCCCACTCTGACCTTCGGATCAATGCAGAGGACACCATTGAGAAACCAAGCCTCAGGAACAGAACTTTTTTCATGCCAATAATCTTCACCTCGAACCAGGCCTTGGTCACAATAGATGCAAAGTCATCTATTCGTGCCCCGTGATACTCGATTGGAGCTGTGCAAACATGTGAAAATATGCTCCATTTAACCGGTTCAAAGTAGTCTTGCTCAAACTTCACATCAATGGGCTCATAGGTGTGATCATCTGTCAGTTGAAGGCTTTCTGGAAGTGCTGATAAATGCTGCAGATGGATAGCTAGGTGATCACTCCTTTTACCTTCCAAGTACAACCGAATTCCAGTGACTGGCCGGTTTCCAGAGTCAACCTGCAAATTCTCATTGTTAGAGCTGCAAAGAGGAAGACATGACAATCCAACTATTTTTGGTAAAAAGGGGGAAAGCAATTTAACCATATAAATGGTCAGTATGTTGACAACAGCTAATGGGTTAGGAAGCAGTGATCTCTCCACTTTCTTTTCTACTTGTACAACTCTTATTACCATTTAATTATAGAGAAGATGCAAATATGCAATAATAAAGTTTAAAATGTATGTATAATGTTTGTTTTGGCATACAAAAGTTCACCTTCACTGTGTTAACAAAAAGTTTTGGACCCATAAAAGTAAACTGCAATGACGGAGAAGCCTGCTTCCTGCGACGATGAACAAGGGGAAGATCACTGTATGCTGGAGCCCACCTCCGAGGTAACTGAAATTCTAGAAATTGAAGGAGTTCCTCTATTGGCGGTTTGTCTGCACAAGTATTTCTTATCAGATACCAAAACTGTTTAAATTTTATATATTTGCAACAGCTAATATTGATTCATATATGTATCTATTCCAGTAAATCGGAGCACTACTATACAAAAAGATTTCTTACTCAAGTAATCGACTACATACTCAAACAGAAGATGGTATTACTGGCAATGTACTACACAAGTTATTGCTAATTTTATTAAAGAAAACAAGAATGTCTCTCATAATCTCATGGCCATTATTATCCAATAAAGCTATCTAATGTAGGAGAGTGTAAATAGAAAATCGCTGAGAATGTACAGTTAGACATACTCACATCGTAGGTATAGATTAATTGCATGGCTTAGAAATCCACTGCCCTTAACTCCATTCAATAGTGAAGCAATAGGCACAAAGGACATTGATATAACATTAGGAGACTGTGACACTGTAGAAAGCCACTTACTATGACTTTGACCACAATCACTGCCACCCCGACGAACATGAATGCTTACTATGTCCTGCACCGAAAATATCATGTCTTAGCTTGAATTTATCTTTTATTTAAAAAGCTGCAGAAAATTGTAACGCTTCAAAAGGTACTGCTGTAGAAACTGAAAGCATAGCATACATTGTTCTTTGAGTGGGATGTGATAGACGGTCTCATTGAGCTTGCAAATGGTAAACTGGGATCCCAGAAGATGGACTTCTCATCCTGTGGACAAAAAGAAAGTACCATCAGTGCATCAGTTTGAACTTTACAATTATTATGCATCTGAATCTATGGTCTTTGAGAGCATGTGTCAGGAGATCTAAAGAGTCCTAAAATAGGATTACCTTTAGTCTTTCATTAGAATTGTCAGGATTTGATTTTGGGCATTCACTTCCATCTTCAGAAAACTTCTCATCAGCTAATTGTTTTAACAATTTCTGCACCTCAATAGGTTCAAGAGTTGATTTTTGAAGCTGCTTTATGTGGATTACATCCTTTCCTCCCATCTTTAATCCAACAACAACATGGGTGCCATATTTTTCAATGAACCTGGAGAATCATGCCATTAGTTCCACAGTCAGTAATTTCCTACAATTAGAGAGTATCCTCTTGTACCAGTTGGAAGTCACATTCATCATTAACACGAAAAGATCTTTGAAAACATTTTTCTCTACCAGCAACGCAGTGGCAACTCCCAGTTCCTATGCTGCCTTCTTTTAAAATAGAAACTTTATTCAGATAATTTCTGTTGTTTCAGTAATTGCTTATAAAATACTTTATCTGTTAGTATGTCATCCTTGGCATATAAAAATTCAGCATAAGAATCTTACTCAGCAAGAGCAGGAGGATCCCAAGAAGAAGGAACTTCTCTTCTTACTTGCTCACATAGAGTAACATGGCAGCGCTCCAACTCGACATTATACAAGGTAATGAACCAACCATCAAAAGCAACAAGTTTAGTGCTAGCAGCATCCTTCTGCCAGTACCCTCTGTGGTCAAACATTGTGTTAAATAGACCAGAAGGTATTTTACCAGATAAATCTGCGTCCTGATTGAATTGCTCCGACATCTGAAAGCAATTGGAAAAACATTTTTCTTAAATGATTGAATGATCAAGTCAAGTGATATCATAATTTAGGTCTGAACTTTCCAGAAAGAAAAAAACCTCTCCAATGCTACTTTTGAGGTCAATGATCAAAGTCAAGTCTTCAAAGCAATTAAGGTCAATGAAAAATAAAAGCAAAGAATAGTTGAATAGACGTAAAATTCTCAGCATTTAATTCCAAAATTGAAAAGAGAAATTCAAATATTCATTTCAGTATGCAGAATGGAAATTTGAAAGGTACACAAATATGAAAAATCTCCAGCATTCATTTTCTCGCGCTTAACAATATCATTTCTCCGTGAACGAAATTAACATAGGCATATATATATACATGCAACTAAGAAATTTACGAATGAAATAAGAAGTTTCCAGAAATTACGTACCTGGTTAAAGGTAAGAGCATCGGAGCGGAACCGGGTCCGTTCACCTTTATCACACTTGATGGAGGTGGAAACATTGCGGACGACAACGCCACCGGGCATAACCAAGTCCTTTGTGGAGCTCCGATCAAGCTCGATCAGCCCCGACCCAGACGGGCCGGGCTTGCAAGCGGATAAACGTATATCCGCCGCCATGTCGTACCCGAAGCCCATAACGGAAACCGCCTTTTCCGCCGCGGTCTGCGGGTCCATTCTGTTATTCGGATGAAACGCCATGGAAGAAGAAACCCGAAACTCGAAGCTTAGATTCTGACGATCTTCTTGTATGGGCAGTGTGGCGTTTTGTAGTGAAAAGTCGATGGGGGTCAAATGACAGCTATAGCCTTTGCTTCCCGTGATGGTTTTGGGAGTAGTTTGGTTGGTAAAGTCATTTCAGGTATTTAAATATTGAGGGAAAATGGGCAGAGAGGACAGAGACGGCAATACGGAGTTTGTCAGGGGCGGGGAGAGTAAAGTTATGCATTGCGCGTTGGAGTAGGGTGTTGACTTTGACGATTGACGTCAGTTAACCCAACTTATTAAATGGGGCATAAAACTTTGACATACATTATTTATAATTTATAGCTTGCAAGTAGACTAGCTGACTTTGACTTTTTCTGCCACGTCGCAACACAATATTATTCTGTTCTTCAAAATATCAAATAAACCCTCAAATTAATATGCATAACGCAATTAACCCTCTTTGGCTCAAAAAAAAAAAAAACGCAATTAACCCTCTAATTTAAAAAGTTTCAATTACACTTTTAAACTTATAAAAAATGTAATTAACACTTTTAGCATGAAAATCTATTGACTAGACATGCCATTTGACGTTTTAGATGATTTGGAGCAGAACAACATATTTTTTTAGACCTGATATGGTAAAATAATAATAATAATAATAATAATAATAATAATAATAATAATAATAATAATAATAATAATAATAATAATACATTAAACAATTTAAATTTTTATAAAAAATTAGGGGGAAAAACATAATTTCCATCCTTCAACTATGATGGAAGTCCAATTTCTTTTAAATTTTAATTTTTAATTTTTAATTTTTAAATATCAATCATCAATAATAATAATAATAATAATAATAATAATAATAATAATAATAATAATAATAATTATTATTATTATTATTATTATTATTATTATTATTATTATGCCACGTCAGTTCAAAAAAAAATACTAAACTTAATGCCAAATCACCTAATGGCATGCCATTCAACACATTACTTTTGTAATTTGCTAAAAGTGTTAATTGTGCTTTTTTTCTTTTTACAAGTTAAAGAGCTAAAAGTGATAATTGTGGTTTTTTTTTTTTTTTCTTTTTACAAGTTCAAGAGTTTAATTTAAACATTTTTTTAGTTCACAGGTTTAATTGTACAATTACTAATAAGATGATGACTTATTTGACTTTTTTATTTTTTAACCCCTTTTGCAATCGTTATACCGTGCACCAGGGCGCACATAGCAATGTGCGTCCCGCACCTCGCAAAACAACGTTGTTTTGGTAAGTTCTGTATTTTCAGGTATAAAATTCTGTGCATTCTATTATATAATTATGTACATTCGAAAACATGAAATTTTTAGTTATAAAATTCTATATTTTCAGGTATAAAATTCTATGCATTCTATTATATAATTCTGTACATTTAAAACATGGGAATTTTCAGTTATAAAATTTTGTGTTTTCGGATATAAAATTCTGTGTATTCTATTATACAATTCTGTACATTTAAAATATGATTTTTTTTTAAAGAAATTAACAACAGACACGCGAAAAGATACAAAATGACATACATTATGCGTCCTTGTGCACGATATAATTTCCCCCCTTTTGAGTTCTAAATTCGTAAACATTTCCGTAGTGATTGGGTCAGTGTTCATGGGTTAAATGACATATTACATGGGCCTTGAAATGGACCGAGTTACGACTAATAAGCTTCACAGGCTGAGAACATCGGGCGCAAAAGCAATTATATGCCATAAACCACATATTGGGCCGAGAACAAGATATTTTTGGTTCTTAAATCAGTTTGATTTATAATGTTTAGTCGATTAAAATAAATTTGTTATCGGGCTAATAACCTTTGAAACAAAAGAAGAAACCAGCCTAATACATGTAAAATTGTTATACAGTGGATCATGGTCCACAGAGTGCTGTGTGAATCATAATTGACGAATAAAATTGTAGTACTGATGGATTTAATTAATTCGGGTGGACCGAATTAACAAACCCAATAAATAATGGATAATGTAATTGGATAGGAAAAATAGGCAAAAACAAGTATTGTAGGATTGCGGAGACCAAATGTTGTATTAACAATGTAGTTGTCAAGCTATTACAATGGTATGTAATGGTATTACAAGAGTAGTTTAGGACAAAAGAGATAGAATATGTCTTAATGAGACAAAATGGAGGATATTTATACATAGAAAACCCTCTAACCGGACCCCTAACGCGGTGGGGAGGTTGCATCTCCTTTTTGACAGCATTCGGACCGAGACCAAAGCCGCAGCTTGACCTGCCGAGGCGCCTGGTTATGGCCTAGGCCGAGGTCGGGTCGAGCACGGGATTCAACCTAGGGTCCACTCCATATTCCTCGCTCCGTCTTCCCGAGTCGGTTTGCTCCATTTACAATATATTCATCAAGTACAATTAAAATGATACTTCAGTGTTTCTATAATGAAACTAGTGTGTGTGAAAAATGAAACTAACAAGTAGAATTTATTCAGCAACGTATATATTGTCAAATGAAACTGTAGTATAATTAAAATGATATTGTAGTATTGTTATAATGAAACTAGTGTGTGTGAAAAATGAAACTACAAAATAGAGCTCATGCAATAATGTATATAGTTAAATGAAACTGTAGTAGAATTAAAATGATAGTTGGTGTTGCTATAATGAAACTAATCCAGGGAGAAAATGAAACTGAAGACAAAGCAATATTGTCAAATAAAACTGAAGTGTAATTAAAATCATATTTACTTTATGGACCACACTGCTACATAAAGATGTTCCTTTGTAAAATTTGTCATACACGTAGCAGGAGGCCTAAAATAATTTAAACAACTCATATTTACTTGGTGCATGCGGATGCAAAAACGACGTCGTTTTAATAAACGCGCGTCTCCCCTTAAAGAAAAAAAAAATCAGGTTCGATTCCCAGCAACAACATATGAACTAAAATTCCATAATCGATGAACTATAATTCCATAACCGATGAACTATAATTCCATAATCGATGAACTATAATTCCATAATCTAATCTATGAACTAAAAATTTTAGAATGAATGAACTAAAATTCCATAATCTATAAACTAAAATTTCATAATCGATGAACTATAATTCCATAATCGATGAACTATAATTCCATAATCAATGAACTATAATTCTATAATCTATGAACTAAAATTCCAGAATGAATGAACAATATAATGTTGTTGCTGGGAATCGAATCTGAATTTTTTTAAAGGGGAGACGCGCGTTTTTTAATAAAACGACGTCGTTTTGACATCCGTATGTACCATGCATGGTGTATACGGATGCACAGCATAACTATCCGTGGATTCATAAGATCCAGGATATTAGAGTTATAAAAAATAAGGGATTTAATAAATTTAGTTCCTTAAAAAAATCAATAACATATATTCAGATAGAAAGTTATGGTTTCAAACCCATCTTCGTGTGTGTATCTTGTGAAAACCATTCCTTAGGTAAATATCAGCTATTAATCTGGATAATATCAATGACTCTAATACATGTAAATCTTTTTTTAAAAATGAAGTGGTATTTGTAATGTTTATCAATGCACTTTGTAGTGTTAGTCAATACTCTTTAAAGATCAAAATATTTATCAAAATGCAACCACATTTTTTTCGGTTTAAATTCTTTTATTTTATCGCCAATCTAATACCTATGTAAAGTTAATAGAGGATCGAAGTTTTTGGCTTAAGATTTCTATACATATGTTACTTTACTCAATTGAAAAAATATTACCAAGTATCCTTAGGACTTGTTTGGTAAAAAAATTGGCCTATAGGTCAATTTTGGCTTATTTGACTACTATTAATTGTTTGATTTAGTTAAACGTTTGGTTAATTAACTTTTTGCAACTTCAAAAGGCTAAAATTAAAAAAGCTACTCCAAGCAACTTTTTCAATTAGCTTTTTGAGAAAATAAATTATACCAAACAGCTATCAGCTAACAGCTAATTTACCAAACATTTTTCTATAATCAGCCAATGTTATCAACTATTTATACCTTCTAATTAACACAATCAGCTAACAGTTAACAGCTATCAGCTAACAACCATTTTACCAAACAGGGCCTTAATCTTTTTAAGGTTGTGGTTTTAAAGTTCATGATTCTTAGATTTGACTGATTTTACAACTCTATTGTCTATACCACCTTTTCTAACATACAATAAACATCATTTAGTAATTTTTAACTAGTAGTTTTTAATTAGACCTAAGAGCATCCATAATGGTTGGGGAGAATTGGGCGATAATGTAAAAGTGATTAGGAGAGGAAAAAAAAAAATAAAAAAAAAAACAAAATCAAATATTAAAAAACAAAAAAAAAAAACAAAAAAAAAATGGGTCAGGCGCGCCTGACGCGCCCGTGTGGGCGGGCTGCAGCCTCTTTTTTCTTCTCTTTCTTTTTCTTCTTTTTCTGCATTATCCTTGAATTTGCAGGAGAAGTATCTCCACCAATAACTCCCCCCCACACTTGTTATTATCCCCACCCGAGATAATTCATCTGACATTATCTCCATAATATCCACTGATGTGGATGCTCTAACACTCGTTAACGTTATTATTTAAATATGGGAAAAGGGTCAAATAGGCCATCGAACTTTAGCTTAAAAGTCAATTAGGCCCCTAAACTTTTTAAAGGTGCAATTACACCCATCAACAATTCATTTAGGTGCAATGAAACGCAAAAACAAGTTAATGACCTGCTATCACAGGTCATTAGGGTTCAGGCCACCTTCCAGCGAATTTTTCGACAAAAAAAATGTGACCAGCAACTAACCCAGATTTGTCGAAAATTTCGCCGGTCACTTCTTTTGTCGAAAATTTCGCCGGTCACTTTTTTGTTTTTTTTTTGCCGGAAGGTGGCCTGAACCCTAATGACCTGTGATAACAGGTCATTAATTTGTTTTTGGGTTTCATTGCACTTAAATGAATTGTTGATGGGTGTAATTGCACCTTTAAAAAGTTTAGGGGCCTAATTGACTTTTAAGCTAAAGTTCGAGGGCCTATTTGATCCTTTTCCCTTTAAATATTAATTTCAACTTATTTGAGAAGCTATTCTACATCTACTAACTCCTCCAAAACCTACTTAATTTAATGCCCATCAAATTGTTCCGAATTCTGAACACGAAAATGGCCAGTGGAAACAAGTTTTAACAACCCAATGCATATAAAAGAAGAATAAAATGAACAGTCGGTGTGTGGAGGAAGAATCTTTAATTTCCCCATAGTGATATGAAAGAGCCAAATTCAGATGTATGTAACGTAGAAAATTGTGAGCATATCATGATTATCTATCAAGCGAAGCGTCTTTATCAGGTGTTGTTTTCGTACAGTAAAGGAATTGAACACTCAAAAATGGGCTTAGTGAAGAAGCTTTAAATAAGTTTCATACTTGAAATGGATTATATTCATTAATTACTTCACTTAGCTGTCTGCCTCTTTGGATCATTAATTGACTAATCTCAGCTGCTTGTAATTAATGAATATGGTCTCACCACGCGACACCATGCATCATTGCAGACCACCACGTTAAACTCACCTAGCATTTTGTCAAACAAGTATGAAACCAAGAATTTTATGCCAACCCCAATTGAGTTTGTTTTGGTGTACCCAGAGTTTCCACCGTTGAACACACAGTGAAGTCAGTGATTAATTCCCTCGTTGATTTGTAGACATCTCTTTTGAGTAGAATAACTGACATGGAAATTTAAGCTAAGGCTGCTCTATACCCAAAGCTAATAATCGAACTCTTGGCCTTGGATTAATGAGTTCCTTCCACTCAACCAAAACTCTTAGGTTATCTCAATTAAGTTAGTTGTGTAGTTAGTTTTATTTGCCAAACAGAGCCTAACATTACCGGTCACTAAGCTTTTTGCGCCACAATTAATTCGAAGATACTCACTGGACAAAAACGAATAGTCATTCTCACATCTCTATCACCTTATAATTTCAATTTCATATGAACACTTGACATGATATAGTCGCCTTATAAAATGTGCATTAATTGCTAGAAGGAAAGACCTTTTGACTCCTTTCACACATTAAGCGCTTCTGAGCACCCTGTTTCGTTTACGGATCTCATCACTGACAGAAAACTATAGAACTACTAACCCAATCGTATACCTTGGTACTTGTCACATCAATATTAATTTGCGCATTGGGTAAACCACGGGTTGTGACCCTAGCTGGCAAAGGACAACAAGTAAGTAATTTAGCATATAACCGACATAAATTAAGAAGGCCAATAGACTGCTCTCACAAAAGGTTAAACTTATAACATTATGGTTATCAAATCAATCTTTTGATCAACTTAATTAAAGTTAATTGCCTCTTTTTGAGTACTACTTATGTTTGGGAGAGTCACAACTTTATCACTTGATCATAATGTATTTTTTATTTTTATTTTTGGACCCAAAGGAGGGCCAAGCTCAGTGTCTTACAATAGACATTCTTCCGTGATCGTCTTCACACACGGGCAAAGCACTCTAGTCTACCAACATAATAAATGTATTTTTGTTTTTTGGTAAATACATACAAACCGAATGCTTATAACGCGGAAACGATGACCGGCGGAATTCACAGGCCACCAGACCGAGAAAAAAACCGCATCCAAACCTTAAACGTGAAACTTGACAAAACGACCGCGTCGCAATTGTCAAATTGTGGCGTTGACAGGTACCACAAAATAGGTCATGTTCTAAATGCGCCCAACATTTTAGCGTTATTTTTCTTTAACAGTGTGGTCCAAGAAACCCATATAATTAATTAATAAATGTCTTAAATATATTTATTTATTTGGGAGAAAGAGAGAGAGAAGAAAGATATACGTTTCTTCTGGTTGTAATGTGCTGCCGCCTGCCGGCTGAATGAAAATAAAAATAAAAAATATATTGATAACGTATCTGGAAAGTCAATCATGTTATCCAAAGTCAGCAATAATTTTCGGAAACCTTTTTGAGCCGTTTGATCGAACGAAAATAATTAAGGATCGAGAAATCATTTTGGAGACATCGATGATTATCAGAATCTTATTCGATCGGTTGGTCCGACTAAATATTAATTAATTCGTGTTGTTAATTTAGTCATGGTGGTGTGGTTGTTTGGTCTGTCCACATCACCAATGAAATTTTTCTCTCTTTTTTTTAAAAAAAAAAAACAAAATAAAAAACAAGAAAAAAATCTTCTAAAAAAATCAAATAGCAGCAAGCAGGATCTGTTGGTCATTTGCTGCTAGGGGATTTTCTTGCTACTTGGAGTCTATACGTAGATTATTTTACACTCCAATAATTAAGAAAGGAACGAAGCAAAACCCACGGCAACATTTCTTTATTCTTTCTTCCTTTTTTTTCTATAAATAAATCTTTGAGTTCTGTACAAGAAAATTATGCATTTAAATTTGTATACGATACAAATCAAGTTGTTGGTACTTATAATAAAGTTGAGTAAATCAACTAATCGTAACTCCATGTTAAATAATAGATTCATGTCTAACTTACGTGCATAATAATTTTTTATTGTGTTAATTTATGAATTGTCTCTAAACATATTGACAACACTTCATGTGAATTTGCTAGCCGAACTATTGAGCTGACCTCCCATTAAGTTAAGGATATTTGGATTTATTTTGAGGCCTGAATTCATTCTTGAGTTTAATTGTTTCCTTAAACATTGAGATTTCGAAATAAATAAATTAATTATCAAATGCTCATTGTCTAAATGTTAACTTAATCGCAGTATTAGCAGGCCAAACATATGGGATATGAGTTGTTTATACCCAATATTTTTTAAGTTTAATTAATCAGTAATTAATTTGATAAAAAGTGAAAAGTTAGTTAATTGGGACGCGTAATGACACATGTGAAGGATGGGCGTACAGCAAATGTGGCTGCTGGAGAGGGAAACACGAGTGCATTATAAGCTAATTAAATTAGGAATAAAAAATAAACAATAATTGAGAGGGTGGGGGCAACTTGTAAATTTAAATAATTAACGGAATCGACATGTCTTTGGGGCAACCTTTTTTACGAGAATGCTTTGAATAATGGCAGCATGGCGGCCTTAAACAAATCATAATCATAAACGCTTAACAATGTAATAATTATTCTAAGTGCCTCTTCACACACACGCATATCTGCCGACCATATCTTCTTCCTATAACCTTTTTTTTTTTTTTTTTTTTTTTTTTTGAATGCCTTCATCCTATAACCTAATTGAACTTCTTTACAAAAACTAATTTATTTCGTTATTATTTTCATGATAAAGATATACCTAGCAACCTTGTGAACCATTTCCCTACTGTTTTTTTTTTTTTCTTCTTTTCCATAAATCCAAATTTTAAAGAAAATATTTACAAGAACATAAATGAACTCGATCATCCATTCCTCATTGGTTAAAATCAAAAGACATAGACGACAATATCAGTCAAGTTGATCAGACAATTAACATAATAACCACACGATTTAAAGTTGCATTCTCAATTAGTGTGTCTTATTCGCCTTCTTAGTTTGAGATAGTTGGACAATAAAAATTAAATTTACTCAAAGTACACATTGAATAGTAATTATGAATTATGAATTCTTTAGTGAAAAAAAAAATGGATAATTTTTGAACCCTCTCTCATCTGAAAGTACCAATCTGACCAACACTTTGCTCCTTAATTAGACAAACCCGATGCGAATGAAAATTAGTCTGAGTATGGTACAAAGTATATAATTAAGGTCTGATCAATACAGCTTAGGGTCTCACAAAGAAAATTAGAATTTATATAAATGTGTACATAACTTAATGAGTAATTTACATTTTACACTGAATAGGTGTAAAAAGTTTGGCGTGATGAGAAACCTGGTGGTTTTGGACAAAACCATGGGCTAGTGTGGAATATGGGAACGGATCCCTATTACGCGGCGAGAAGCTGGGAACGGGCCGGACAGCCGTTATGGTCTTTGTTTCGTATCCTTTTCTTAATACCCACTTTCATACTTGTACAGCAACAGCATATTTAAAACATATCAATGGGAGTTGAAAAGGAATCTAGCATAAATGTTTACCTCGGAATAAACTACCGAGTATTCATTTTTTTTTTTAAAATTTAAAAAAAAAAAAGTAATTTTTACATAATTGATGCTCTATTCCGTTAAGAATACGAATAATAATCGTTAGCTTAATTCGATAGGGTGACTGGTATGCTATCATGTGCTTATCAAATAATCAAAAATTAAGATATTAAAAATATATACAATGAAAATCCAAGAATTATTTTAATTTAATTCACATTTAAAATAATAATAACAAATATTGTGTATTTATGTATACATAGCTCACTTATAGGCTGGGAATACTGCAATATATACGGATTGATTGAGTAGACAGTAGTGAGAGAGATGTACGTACGCAATTCCCCACGTGTTCCAGTGAGGTAGTGCCGTCAACAAATTCGACATTACACGTCACCTTCCGGGTCCCACAATTAGCCATTTGGGGCGGCTATTTCCTGTCAGTCAAAGCCTTTGCTTCACAATTTGTGCTATATATATATCACCCCGCTCCCCTTTCTTGTCTCACAGCCGTACGCTTCATTTCCATGTTTCTATCACTGCAGCCCACACCCATAATTTATTTACACGCCCGGAGCGCATAATAATAATTATATATATTTGTTGGAATTGGAATGGCTCCCAAGGAGAAGGGGACGGCGATGGCGGTTGCGGCGGCGAAGTTGCACGATATTCGGAAGGAGCAAGTGCATTTTAGGGGTGTGAGGAAGAGGCCGTGGGGGAGGTACGCGGCGGAGATCAGGGATCCCGGCAAGAAGAGCCGCGTTTGGCTCGGGACGTTTGATACGGCGGAGGAGGCGGCCAGGGCTTACGATAAGGCGGCCAGGGAGTTCCGGGGTTCCAAGGCCAAGACTAATTTTCCGGTGCCGGAGGATCTCCTTCCGATCAATTTTGCCACGCAATTACGCGTCGTGAAGAATAGCGTTTGTGAGAAGAACGCCGGCGGAAACGGACAGAGTCCTAGCCCGAGCAGCACTGTTGAGTCGTCGAGCCGCGACGGCGGCGGGGGCGGTCGTATCTCGCCCGCCGTGATGGCGGACTCGTCGCCTCTGGATCTAAGCCTCGGCGGCCGTGCACCGGTGATGTTTCCGATACCGAACCCCCACCGCGTCGTTCCTCACATGGTCCCCGGCGCGTACCCGGCTGGCGTCTATCCCGTCAGCCAGTTAGTTTATCTCAACGCGCTTGCCCGTGCCGTGGCGGTGAACCCTCCTCTCAACCGCCAAGCCGAGACCCTCAATTTCTTCGCCACCAACGCCAACTTCGGGGACCACAGCGAGTCCGACTCTTCATCGGTCATTGACTTGAACGTCGGCTATCGCGAACCGCGAAAGGTTGGGCCCATTAACAATTTCGATCTCAACCACCCACCGCCTGAGAGTCTCGGAACCGGCGCTCTTTGATATTCTCAACTCCAATCTCTCAAAAATCTTTTTTGTTTTTTGTTTTTTGTTTTTTTTTTGGTTAATTTTAGGTGTAATTTCCTTTTTCATTAAACCAAAAAAAGGAAAAAACAAAAAAGAGGTGGTAGGATATAGGATAACGGCGAGTGATTCCGGCGATCCATGAATGACGCCGATCATGTGAATACTTTAAATTGATCTGATCTCCCTTTTTGCAACAGAGAAAAATCTTTATGGTTTCCGGCTGTTGTTATCCAGCGCTCATCTTTCCGATGAGCCTGCAATTCTCATCTTAATTACATCTTTAATCGGATCAGTTTTCCAGTTTTTGTTACAAGAACACAGATCTGTACAATCATTATATTACAAAGAAAATTATTATCATGAAATCTGGCAAGTGTAGTCGGCGCCGGAAGATCCGGATTTGGCGGCAACCCGGCGGTGAGGGACCAGTGGGGTACGAGGTGTTAGTACATAGAAGATTAGTTTGAGATAAATTTAGACAGAGAGAGTGTCGGCCGGACTTGCGGCCACGTGGTGCTGTGCGTCCCATTTTGGAGGCTGAATTTTTCTTTCTTCTTATTTAAAGTGGACGAGACGGCAACAAAAGATAAAGCTGTAATAATAGAAGCTTTATGCTCCGTTTGGATGGATGGAAATCTTTATCACCCAACTGCTTCTCCGTATACCAATTATTCCGTATTAGCTACTTTTGTCAAACAACGCCCACGTCCTTAATTCTAGTATAAAGTCTTACATGTATAATTTTTGTGTACGTTAATTTAACGCATTATTTTATTCTTCTTGAAACATAACAAATAAATGTCAAATAATATTACGCTGTAGACTGATAGTTCTCTAGTAATTGATATAAATCTAAAGTTTTATTTAAAACTATTAGAAATAAAAAATACCAATGTGATTTACACGGCAGATTTTTCTTACAAATCTAAATTTCAGTTACATAAAGTTTTATATTAAAAGGCTAAAACTTTATTATAGACCTGTTTGATAACATAATTAACTTATCAATCAATTTTAATTATTTAATTTGGTTAAATGGTCAATATAAGTGTTTAATTAATTAATTTTTTATAAAAGTTCTTTACTTCAATATGTTAAAATTCATATATACTTTTTATTTATGGTCTGGTGATCTTGGGAGTTTGGTTGGACCACTAACATGAAATGTGGCACGTATGGAGGCTAATATAGCTGTAGCACAATACTAATAAATTATCACCAAAAATATAAAATTCCCAAATTGAAATTGAGAAGAAAAGAAGATGGAATATAGAAAAGAGTATAGGAGATGGAAGAGAATTGATGCTTCTTATTACGTACTTGCTGACAAATTCAACACAGCTAACTACTATGACCTCACCCCCCCCCCCCCCCAACACACCCCACTGGTGCGCTGCCGGCGTTTACTCATTTCTTTATTCCACCACTCAAATTTAATGAAATTTGACGGAATTTGTACGATATGACACGTTATGGGATACCTACAAAAACATTTACCCCCTATTTTTCTCCAAATAATATTTCGTTTTTTAAAAAAATATTATTTAATCGATCTATCAAAATGTAAAAAGTATATTTTTTTTTTCAAGGGTGGCAATACAACCCAAAAAAAAAAAAAATTGCACAAATTATTATTATTTATTATAGTCCGCGCAATGTTCTTCTAAGGACTTGAGTGTAATTAGGAAATTTTCAAAGGGGGTATGGAGAAAGGAAACCAATTTCTACTTGCTTTTTCTTATTCGCGAACTCAACTCCATTATTTTCCACAAGGGGTAGGTCCCGCCACATTATTTTTTTTTGAAATTTTAATTTAATTTATTTCCTACGTTCAAAAGCTTTGGTTTGCCACGGTGGGAGGTGATGTGTCGGATAGAGACAGACAGCATCCGCCGGCAAGTAGGGCTGCGTAAGTGCAAAGCCGTTTGGTGTAGCGGTGACGGGGGGCGTTAGTGGAGCGCGGGCCCCACAATTTGGACACCAGGAAAGAGACATGTAAATCCTTCGGCGCCACGTTTGTCGCCAACATTGAAAAAAAAAACACTTAAAACTGTAATAATTGCGAAATTTATTTATACTTTCTGTTTTTATTTTAATTTGAAAAGGAACAGAAGATGCGTAGATTCAGACATGGAATAAGAAATGTGAAAGCAAGAAACAAGGAAGGTGGGCGCGGACGGCTGCTTCTCTGGCGTAAATAAGAAAGAAAAATAACGTTGTACGACTTGCCGATAATTAATTATGAATTTGTAATATTCTGGGCGACACAAATTATCTTCTCTGTCTCTAAATCGAGACTCACTATTTAAATTTTCAAACTTTACATCTCGCACTATTTCAAGGTCCAACCCTCCGATCTCATGCTCCAACAATTATTTAATTTTACAAAACAAAAAAAATCAAATTACAACCTATATATTGACATGTGTCTCTTATTCAATGCTATAAAATTCTATAAATGTTTTGAGGGTGAGTGACTTTTGAATTGACAGTTTCTAAATACTTCTCAAATTGCTAAGAGTTGTTCAATCTTGGAATCTCAACAAATCCATTGTACTAAAATTTCTATACAAATCCTAAGTTGTACAAAATATTGTAAGTGATAGCATTATAGGACAAACCTACTTGCCAAAATCTATTCGTTTCTCTTATAATATTAAGTTTTATACTAGAGAGAAAGTTGCGGTTTGGATTGTGCGTAACAGTCAACATGTCGCTTCGGATTAGGATTTTCATTGTGTTTAGGTAGAGTGTAGTTACGAGATAATTGTTTATTTGTTGATGAGCAAAGTGAATTTTGGAGAGTCTATACTTAACCTATTGAATGCCAACAAGAAATTAAATGCTTGGAAACCCTTGAAAAGTCCAAGTAATGCGTTCTTTAAGATAATAAAATCACCTTGCTTATTTTTGTATTAAGACATTTTTTATATATTATTGAGGTCTTATTCAAGGGTGATTATATTGATTCCTCTTTGTTTTCTATTCAACATAGTTTTATAGAAGATCAAATTGATATTTACCTATAAGCTAAGGAAGATTTTGACTGCCATAATTTTGTGTGGGGTGCCTTTTTGTTTTTTAAACCAAAAAATAAAAAATAAAAAACCCTATACAACTGTTACGGTCAAAATGATGGCTAGTACAGCCACAACTATGAGAAAGATTGTGCCACACCAATAATTAGCTGTTTTTAATTATAAAAATGTGGTAGCCAATCCACTGTTCGGATTCTACTCTTTATGATTATCTATCACAAAATCTCCCCTTAATTGAGATAACCTTTTTAATTAACCTATAAGCTTCATAATATTTTGTGAAATTTCTAACTCAATCTTATGTCACATTCATATAAATCAAACAAGAGTGTATATATATATATATATATATATATATATATATATATATATATATATATATATATATATATATATATATATATATATAACGCGATGTAGATAAAATTGAGGATTGAAAAGTGGACAAAAATATAATGATACATCGTACTGTGAATAGGTAAGAAGCTAGTTAGGCGTGTAACATGATAGCCCCAAAAACCTGTTGTAGAGAGGGGTCTTACATGTCTGCATTCATAAGTTGAAAGAGGGACAAGCATATCCCACTAATTCTTGTTCTACTGTCCCACATAAGATTACACTTGAAAACACTGGACCCATATTTGTTTTTAAGGTATGCAACTTTTTAGGCCTCAACGTTTGTTTTCTTTACCCTGCCTACATCACATGGGAGCACAGTTTTACACTGGCCCAATTTCTAAGCCCTGCAACCTACCTGTAGGAGTAATATAATTTACAGTGTGCAATAATATGATATGTTATGTCATTCTTAGATTTTCGAGAAAGTTTATCATTGTTACTCATATGTGCATTAAATGTCAAGTTAGCCTAATGAACAAATGATTCATTACTGAGCCTCCCGGCAAATTACATCAGACAAAAAATTGGAGGGTTGAAATTCCACCCCTTACAATTAGCAAAGAACACGGTCTCCCAAGCAACGCGATGAGCTGTCATGTTCGCAGATCTCTTAACATACATAACGCTAATACATGAGAAATTCATAGTTAATTCTTTAATATCATCTAGGACCAAAATAAAAAGAGGAAACACAACCAGTATTTTTTAGCCCTTGAATTATAAGTAACGCATCCGATTCAACTTGAATATTATCTACTCCCAATCTCTTCAACCACTTAAATTCTTCCCTAACTGAAATAGCCTCAGCTTGCTTCAATTGATAGAGCCCTTTAAAATTCTCATTTTTAAAATAGCCCTTTAAAATTTTTAATTTTGAACGATAAAAATATCATATTCGTAACTTTTTCAACACTCGTAAAATTGGATTTCCTAACATTAAATTGCATAACCAACCCACAATTATTTTCCCTATTATTAATTTTTCTTTCACACCTTTAAAAATAAAAATTAAATATTAAATGTATAACTTTGGTGAGCAATGTGAAGGCAAAACCTAGTCAAAGATATCACTGGTGAAATTGCTGCGCTACGTCAACGCAAAAGCCACATGGAGGCGTGACGGAGTCCACAAGACACCACAAACCATACTGCTAACGTACGACCGCCGTAACGGCTCGTCTCCTTCGTCAGACCGTTGGTGGTCTCCACTCTCCACGTTACAACACCCATCATTAAATACAACTTTTTATTTTTTCTTTCTTTTTATTATCAGTAATACCTATAATAAATAATTATAATAATAATTTTAGGATATGAGCCCGTGACAGGGTTGATAAAATCTGTGTACGATATAAATCATATCATTAAATGAAATGAAAGCTCATAATTAAGATTTAGAAGCTACAACTGTGTTTTCCAAGCTAATAGTATGCACTGTAACCCACCACAAAAATTAACAGTAATAAAATATTATAAAGATGTGACAACACAATTTTTTTATAGTGTTCTTTTATTATTATTTATCACTAAATTTGAATGAGAACCAAACGCATGAGAAGAGGGTTACAGAGTCTTTTGCTCAGTGGCTCAGACCCTAATAGCGTCCACTGAACCATCCTAGGCAGACAAATTCACTTTGTAAAACCCTATTTCATGAAAATTTACTTTTTCTTCATAGATATCATCATCAGATTCTACAATTTTTAACTTTTTTTTTTTTGGAATAAATGCTTAATTAACCTAAAACCTTACACTATAACACATTATATCAGGGTTTTAACCTCCAAGTCTTCAATCTGCACATACAACTCAGTTAATTATTGAATGATAGATCAAAGTAATAACATATGATTGAGTTCTCTGACATA